ATATTGATCTCAGAGAGGAAGGGGAGAGGGAGAGAGGGATAGAATTACCAGTGATGAGAGAGAATGATTGATCAGCTGCCTCCTGCATGCCTCACACTGGGAATGGAGCCCAAAACCCGGGCATGTGTCCTGACCGGGAATCGAACCATGGCCTCCTAGTTCATAGGTTGACGCTCAACCATTGAACACCCCCTTTCTTTTTCTTGTGTGGAAGATAATGGGACAACATTGTGCCTGGAGTCCCTATGTGATATCTGGGTTCTGGACCTCTGTTCACCCCTGACTATTTGACCTTGGTCCAGTCACTGCGTCTAGCTTTCCATTTTCATGGTGGGTCTCATACTGCCTGACTGGTCTGAGGCTAGAGAACTCGTGAGTCTCTGTGTCTTTAGCTGGAATGCAAGGAGCTTCCCACGTGTTATTCTCTGCCCCCCCAACCCCCACCCTGTTCCTGATGTGGAGGCAGAGCCAAGGAAAACGTGAATACACAAAAGCCGTGGGCATTAAATATTTGTTCAGTATTGTCCTTGTTATTTTAGGGTTACAAAGACATCTACTAATATTTTTCTCTGATAATTTGTTCTCTAAAGGGGAATAAAAAATAGCTCTAACATTGTGTACATACAATAATTTAATCAAACAAATTGAATTAGAGCAGATAGAATTAGAAAGGACACAGGATGGCCTTGATTCGTTTACCTTCAGGTGGTGGCATCATGCCAACAGCAAATAATGTTATTTGCCCCGCAAGGAGCTTCTGCTGGTGCAGTGACAGGAATAAAGATGACTTCATCCTTGACTCCCCTAGCGCGAGCCCTGCGTTTGGCAAATGAAATCATGCTGTCCCTGTCCTTCGCAAGCATCGGCCCACCAGCTGGTGCTCCTCCTCGAGCAGAGGCTGTGCCAGGGTGGAACCCTACCTTCTGCTGACAGTTCATTCCTTTACACCCTTCAGCAAAGGAGTTGCTGCTAAATTACGGGACGTCCACAGACCTGCTTGGGGCTGTTTCAGTGCTGGGGTTTTGAAAGAAACAACTGGGCCCCAAGGTTGTAGGGTCCGGCCCAGATTTCCTCTGCTCACCAGGGAGCTGCCCAGCGGTCAGCAGGGTCGTTGTTATGCTGTGGTTATGATGTCCCGCCTCGGGAAGAATGTGCAGTGACATGGCTGAGGTGTTGGATTCGGAACTGGATTAGACTAAAGTTACTGTGTCTTGAATTCAAACCAGATGTCCTGGGACAAGCGCTCGGTGCAGCCGTGAGAAAGGCAGGGCGTGACTCTGGAGGTCCACGTGGCTGTGCTGTTGGCTTTCAAATGGGAGGCGATAGGAAAGGACAGAGTCTTCCTTCCGGTCCCCTTTCCCGTCCCTGCCTTTTCACTGAAGCCGCAGCAGCGGGTCACAGTTCAGAGCTAAGGCAGCGTATCTGAGTGAACACTGCCTTCAGAGAAGGTCAGGAATGACGGGCGGCCGTGCGCTCGGACTTGGAGGCTGCCGTCTGAGTAGCTGGAGAGGAGGCTGCCACATCCTTAAAGCTGACTTAGAAAAGTCCGGAAAAGTTTCATTTTAATTGTTATATATGCTCAGTCAGTCTTTGCCTTCATAATTGTATAGCATTAAAGTATTTTTAACCTGTGTTTTTTCACTCAACATTATATCAGGACCTGGAAGTGTTTTCAAGTTGTATCATAGTTGTGTCATAGGGTGGGCTCTATGATATAATTAACTTACTGTCAGGTGTAACCTCTTGTTGGGAATAATGCTGCGATGGGAACTTCCTTCTGATAGCGTTGTCCTTTGCTTCACATTGTTTCTGACGGGCAGGTCTCCAGAAGTGGGGTTATGTTTTAACATTTTCGTTAACTACATACTGTGCCCACTTGCTCTCTACAAGTCAGACTAAGCTCCTCTACCTTTGGCAGTGCAGGAGGGGAGTGGCTTTGTGCAATCTTGTCAGGCTTGCTGTATAAAAGTTATTTTACTGATTTGCTAGGTGAAAATGGCCCTTGCAGTTTTAGTTTTTGCATTTCTTGGACTATCAGACAGGTTGAATTATTTTCATCTATTTGTTTACTAGCTGTCTTTTTTTTCTTTTTTATTACAACACTAGTGGCCCAGTACACAGATTCATGCACATTGAAAGGAAATTCATTAGAAGAAATGTTTTAATATCCCTATTCGCCCTTTCTCTATAATAGAAGTGTCAACCAAATTCACGATCGACAATGACAGATTGAAACACACGTGTGCGATTGGCGCCAGCGAGAGCTTTATATGTATCGCGCATGTGCAGGTCAACGTTTATTTTTAAATTGCCAGTGCATGTCATGTGTACCTGCTGGTCGGTCGGTTTGATGAACCGGTCAGCCACTTAGCCTTTTATATAAGTAGATTATAAGAAGGTGACATGAAGTATGAAATATGAATACTGTATCTTAATTTCCTCATCTTTACTGTGAATCAATAGATACTGTATAAAGTTGAAATATGTAGATAAAAGAATCACCTACTTTCTCGCATCTCTTTCACTGCACATGCGCACACACACATACACTCACACACACACACACACAATATGAGATATTTTAAACTAGAGAGAGACCTCTTGTGAACTATGTGGAAAAAAACCACATTTTTCTTTAAAGTTGAGTGATTACTTTGGTCACACTTTAGTTTCTTCTATCAGTTTTCATTAAAATTAAATGTAATGGGTTAAATTTGAACACACACAGAACACAACCTCAGTTTCTGCAAAATGATTTTTATGTTTCTCTCCTGATAACAGAGATATCTGGACTATCAATCAGTGCTAACTGGTTATTTCTGTGGTAGAATTTTGAGATGATTTTAACTTTTATACTATACTGGATTGTTTTTGCTTTAAAATAGTCAAGGCATTCTTTGACATTAACAACTATCCTCAAAAGCCCATGAAGGATCATTTTTAAAGGTGTCAGAGCTGGACCTCCACATGGAAGTAGTTGGATATATGAGTCTGGAATTCAGAGGGCAAGTCTTCATTAGAGATGATAAATGTGAGAGTTGGCAGCATGTAGCTGATTTTTGAAGCTCAGAGGAATGCATGAAGTCATCTTGAGAGAGACCCAAGGGAGAAGGGACAAGTGCTCAGGTCCCACTGTGTGCATCTCCATCACTGGAGGAGGAAGGGTGGGGGAGGGGCCTGCATTCGAGCCAAAAACACCCATGCTTTTTGAGGTGGGAGGAACACATACCTGTTAGCACTTGCAGACATCGTGAAGCAGCCGGGCAGTTGTGATAAGATGCTGGGATGCAGTGCAAATTCAGGGGTTGCCCACTGGATTTCATTCCAGGACATATTGTCCATTTGGGTGCCTCCTACTTTTCTTTTCCCCAAACCTTGCAAGTTAGAGATCTAGCGGTTGCTTTAACTCCACTTGGAGAATAAGTTCAAGACCTCTGGAATATTTGGGGGTTTGACTAACATCTGGTCTTTAGAGAGCTCCTGACTTCCAGTAGATGCGGTCAGTGTGTTTAGAGAGCACTTGTATGGATTTTTTTAAAATAAGTTTTTATTGATTTCAGAGAGGAAGGAAGAGGGAGAGAGAGAGATAGAAACAATGATGAGAGAGAATCATCGATCGGCTGCCTCCTGCACCTCTTGCCCCCTCCTAGGGATGGAGCCCGTAACCCGGGCATGTGCCCCGACTGGAATCGAACTGTGACCTCCTGGTTCGTAGGTTGAAGCTTAGCCACTGAGAAACACCAGCTGGGCATATAGATTTTTAATGAGCCACAGCTGCTTCTGTTGGATGAGTGCTGTATTTGGCTTGTGAGTTTAAAGAGAGTGGCCTCTGTGTACATCATTGTGACCCACTCAACGTACAGTCCTGTCTCCTGATTAGTAGGGAGTCTTTCCTGCAAGGCTACAAACTTAAGCTTTTAAAGCCTCCTTATCTGTTGACAAGAGGTCAAGTGCGGGAGACTTGATGCTTAGGTTGTTTTTCTCAACTTGCCCCTTAAGAACGGCCAACTGCTGCCCAGCCCACAGGCCTCGCTTTGGGAGCCTGGAGAGTTTGCCTTCCCCGGTTACCGTTAGGCCAGTGCCAGTCACAGCACTTCTCAGCCCGTTCTGAGCCCATCAAGCTCATGTGAGGCTGAAGCTGCATCTGCCAGCCACTGCGTGACCTCGGCCTCTGGTGGGTGATGACTGTTTCTGGCCGTTGCTGGGACCTGCTTCTGTGTCATTCTGCCTCTCTGTCAACATCCTGGCATTCAGAGCCACTCCGGCTCTAATGCTTCTCCTGGCACCAGGCACGCATCAGCGTCCTTCACGCCTCAGCCCCCAGTGCCAGGAGGGCCACACCTGTCCCCAGGTTGCTTGGTTGCCTCCTGTCTCACAGTCGTTTTCTCTGTTTTCCTGATCCTGGCACATCTGCACCAGGGCCTTTGCACAGATGTTTGCAAAAACGTTGAGTTTTCCAGTTGTGCACTGCATTTAGCGATAGGGTTTGAAGGACGTAGACTTGGATGTGGATCTGATTAGTTTTCCGATTTTCTCCCCTTCTAGGTAATACTTACTAATATTCAAAACAGAAGCCCTAAGCCTGGCCCTGCTCCCCACGATCAAGAACTAGGTTTTTTCCTAGAAACAGGACTTCAGAGAGCCCATGTCCTCTATTTCAAAAATGGGTAAGCCTTCTTTATTTTTTCATCAAGGTCCTCAAGAAGAATAGAAAGCCTTGTAACACTGTCTTCAGTTTAGTTAGTATAACAAAACTATTTAAAATATGAACTATAATTGGAATTTTTTTTTTTTAAAAAAAAGAATGAACATAGGCGCTTTTTTCTCTCCTCACCTGGCTCTCTCAGTTTCCCATGAGGTTTGAAGGTGGGAGGAGGGGGTGGGGGGCTCCTGTGTGAGTCTGGGTCACAAGTGTGGAGCCCCAAGCTCAGAGGGGGGTCTGATGGGAGCCGTGCTTCATGCTGCCTTCCCAACAGGGGACCGGGACGGCACAGCCCCCTCCCCGGCTTCGTTAGGGGAAAAGGGAATGAGCTGGAAACCCTGGCACACGGGCCCGTCTTCCTCGGAATGGCTGATCAGTTCAGAGAATCCAACTTGCCAGGTCTCTGACGGTTTTCTTTTTTTAAATATGTCTTTATTGATTTTAGATAGATGAAGGGAGAAGGGAAAAGAGATAGAAATATCAATGAGAGAGAAACATGGATTGCTGACTCCTGCACACCCGCTACCGGGGATCAAGCCCGCAACCGGGCATGTGCCCTGACCAGGAATCGAAACCTGATCACCTGGTTTCTAGGTCCACGCTCAAACACTGAGCCACACTGGCCAGGCTCAGACAGTTTTTATGAAAGTGAGCGTGGCTGTGATGCCACACAAGAACGTTTTCTACCTGAGCTGCCTTTGAAGAGGGTCTGAGAGCCTGACTGTAAGGGAGAGAACTCTCTAATGCACTTGATGTTTGTTTTCTGTGTTGCTCTTATGAGAAATGCCATGATTCTGTTCCACATCTCTTCAGCTGTCCCTTGTTTTGACATTATGCTGCAGGATAGATGTGCATGAAGACCAACAGTAGGTATCGGTTCCTCTGTAGCTCCTGCTGGGCTGTGCATGGAGGCCCAGAGGCCTGTTCCCTTCCTCTAGGACGAGTCCCAGCCTCTGGATACATGAACAATGGAGTTGCTCCCTCTTCATTGTTACGAGCTTCAAACCTTGGGGCGCAGCTCGTGGAAGTGGGATTCCACGTCCTCGTGGCCCAGAGCCACACGCATCCAATTTCCACTGGCCTATTTCCCAGAGCCTGTTAAACTATGGGCACGGCCTGCTGTGCTCCGAGGGCCACTGGCTCAGATTGGCATAGTCCACACCAGACACCCCAAGGTTTGGAATGGCTTGGTGGCTTTGGCACTAAGATATGCTCAAATTGGATCTCATCTGCCATTGATTGAGATCGTCTGAGCGATGGTGCATGCCCTCTAAGCTGAGTTTTGCTGTTTTACTAGTAGATAGAGGGAGGAGGGAGGGAATGTGGAATTTTTTTTCTAGTGGCCTGTTTTTTCTCCATTTTCACAATAAATGGTGGTCATCACAGAGGACCCCCAACCAATACCCTCCTTCCCTCTAACCTGTGAGCTGTGTGGTGGATACGCAATTTCCTGGGGGCTCTCTGGGGGGCTACACCCACCCCTTCCATGGAAAATGCTTTGTGTGAGATTGACAAGGATGGGCAGGGTAACACGTTTTCACCTCCGAAGGCTGTTTGTGGAGGAGGAGCAGCAGGGCCACTGGGCTCTGACCTCCTGCCATGAGACACGGCTGCCCGCTGAGCCCAGCTGAAGAGTAATGAGGATGAGAGGTGTGTTATTTATCACGAGATGATGGGTTACATGCCGGGAATTGCTTACTGGCTCATTTCTCATTTTACCCAAGTTCTAGGGGATTCCCACTGATGTGGCCAAAGTTAAGGGACTGCTCAACTTGGAAGCCTTTGCTTCTCTTTTCTTGTCCTTGCCCTTCTCTCTGGGCTCTGAAGACCTATTGCGATAGCATTGGGCCAGCTACTCCACAGTGTGCCTGTGAGTGCAGTGTTCGGAAGGCTGGGCTGTGCAGCAGTGACGAGGGGTTACTTTGCGGGGAGGTGGAGGTCAAGGCCAGTTTCAGGACCACAGAATATTCACGGAAGGAGAGAAATCTGTGGGAAGTTTTGGTCAAGCCAAGTGCCATCAGGGTTCCTCAGGGCCCAGGGGCCACACCGGGGGGTCACTTGTCAGTGGCCGCCTACAGGCAGCATCCCTGAGAGCAGAGGCAGATGGGGCAGCTTGCTGTCCCTGCGCCCCGGTGCCTCCCCTGGCTCCATCTGCTGATGTGTCTGCTCTGTGCTTGTCTCGCACCTTTTGATTTTCCGCACTTTAAAAACGGGCATCTGGGAGCATGTCATGGACAGGGTCTGACTGATTCCCAGGGATAGGGAAATGCATTAGACAAGAGTTTTGCCATAAGAGACAGAAATGGATAGAGCACATCTGTTTCTTTAAAAATATACTTAAAGATACTCGGTTTTTTGGTTGGCATCCCCGAGGATTTAAGGAGTTGTAGTAATCACTTTTATTCTTTCATAATTTCCCATATTTTTCAAGAGTGAGCACCAAACTAGTGACCTTGAGTCTCCTTCAGAGAGAACCTGACCCCGGACCAGTCCCTAATCCCTAACCCCTCCTAATCCCTCAGGCCCCAGGGATGCTTTTGTGTACCAAGTACTTGGCCCTCATCGTCCTTGCTCCTCATGGTGGCATCTCGTTCATGTCCTTTGCCACCTTTGAGGGCGGCAGTATAAGTAGCATGGCCCCTGTTTTACACACAGTGACCTGGCTGCGGGTTCAGTCCGTTTAGCACTGCACCCCTGCGGTCACTCCGTGCGGAGGGGCTTGGTTGGACCCTCAGACGGTGGCTTTGTCCAGCGCCTGCCTTCTGTGAGGGAGCCCTTGAGCCCTGGAGCGAGACCCGCCCAGGGGATGGTTCCCAGCCTCCGCTGATTGGTGTTTTCTTGCCAACTTTCCCTCATGCCTCATCTCCAAGCCACAGATCACCTGTTTCTCCTTCTTTCCTCTCCTGGTCCCTCTGCTCCCCCTTTTCCTCACCCTCTCTTCCCTTCCTCTCAGCCCCGGACCTCCTTCTGGTTGCTGTCCACCCCAGTGTCCGGGCGGGGCTGACTTGGAACACACTCACATCTGCTTCCAGCTGTGTCTCTTCTCCCTCCGGTGGCAGCGGCAGGCCTATTAAGGATGAAAAAAAAATCCTGCTCAGGCTCTGCAGAGGGTGAAGTCAGAGAGCCGCAGCCTCAGAGGACCAGGACGGCTGCCTCCGAGGGTCTCGCCTTGCCTTGCCCACAGCAGGCACTGGGCTCAGGCAGCAAGGGCCCTGGGGCCAGAGGCCTGGGTTTGGGACCAGCGCTTCTCCTCACCAGGCATCTGTTTCTTTATCTGCGAAATAGGGCTAACCCCACCTACTTCAGGGCTGTGGCGAGGCACAAATAAGAAAACACATGTGGAAACACCGGGGAGGCATCAGGCAAACAGCAAGTGGTCAATGGTCATTTCCCACGTTGGCATTGCCCGCTGACCCTCCAGGGGGACGTGGGGCCAGGTGCCTGGGTTAAGCAGGTCAGGTTGCAGCGGAAGAGGAAGCTCACGAAGCAGGCACCCGTCACTCATTGCATTGCTCAGCCTCTCACTACCAGTGTTCAAGGAGCGGCACTTATTCAGGCGGTTGGTTTAAGCGGGTGCTGCTGACGATGCATAACAGTTAGCTTGGGTAACACCTGATAACAGTATTTCAGAGGGGGCGCTGACCAGACTGACGCAGTAACATTGGATGTTATTTAGGCAGGAAAACGACCTCAGTGTGGGGATCCCCTCAGCCTGAGAAGGAGAAATGCCACACACACACACACACACACACACACACACACACACACACACACCGTGAGTCTTTGCAGCCAGAATTGCCAGAGAAACGTGGGTCTGGGAGGCCACTTACTTCCTGCGAGTCTTGATCTCAGTGTCACTTTCTCGAGGGCCCTGCCGAGCACCCCATGTAAGCCGGTGCCCTCTGTTACCCGCTCTCACTGCACACATTCCTTTCCCAGTACTGACTACGATTTGTAACTCTGTACATTGGTTTACTGGTTCATTATCCGTCTCCTTTACTAGACTATCTCCTCCCTGAGAACCTGGGTTATGCTCCTTAAATTCACCAATGTAGTACCAAGCACAGTTCTTGGCAGGTAGCCACACTCAGTCAATACTTGTTGGACGACTGAGCAAACCTCCTATGTGCCAGGTCCTGTGCTGAGAGGCGTACATACCCTGCAGGGTGTAAGGAGGCCAGTCTGCTTGGAGTGAAGGTTTATATAGAAGTCTGGGGATTTCTTGAGACTTGGTTAGATGGAGAGGGGCCAAGGAGAGGACCGGATTTGGAAATGGGGCTATCAAGGATTTGCCGTTGGATGTGTTATGTTTGAGATGCCTATGAGACGTATAGCTGAGTGGACTTGTTAACTAGGACGATGTATGAGCACAGAGGGAAGGTTGGAGCTTGAGTTATAAATCAGGAGTTTCATCACATTGGACTGGATGAAATCAATAAGGGATAGAGTACAGTGAGGGAAGCAAAGACTGCCCAGGACCCAGCAATAGTTGGATGTTGAATAAAGGGGAGGAACTTGTGGAGGGGCTGCCTGAGGTCAGAGGGACGCCATGAAGGTGTGTCCCCAGAAAGCCTACAGGGGAGGATGTGCCGGGAGAAGAAAGGGACCACGTCTGTGTTGAATGGTGCTGTGATATTAATAAGGGCAAAGACCAGGGCATTGGAGTGGATAACATGGAAGGCGTGTGACCTCGATAGACTTTTGGTGGATGGTTTAAGGGCAGAAGCCAGGTTGGGGAAAGAGAGGAGCAAATGAAGCAGGAGGAAGTGGTGGCATTGTAGGTAAGTCATTTTCAATAAATGTTACTTCCTTGTCCATTTTAATTTCTAAGGTAGAGTTCCTGCTGGAGGGATAGATGGTTAAGGAATAGAGAATTTATCCTCCACGTATGGAGAGGCTAGTGGATCATGAGGCTGGGATATCAGGAAGGGCCCAGAATTGGGTGGTTCATTGGGCAAGAGTCCAGTGCCAGCAGTCATCTGTACCCTTTCAGTTGGCCGTGGCTCATTTTACTTGGTTTTTTTTTTGGCTAGTGGTGACATTCCCACCTGAGCAGTTGACTGAGAGGAAGATGGGGTGATGGAGGATGTGTGGAGAGGGAGAGGGAGGGCCAGGGAAGGAGTCTGTGTAAGGGGACGACTTCCTTTACTGCAGCAGCTCAGGAGGGAAGCTCATTGAGCAAGCTGAGCCTTGCAACTGGCCAGCCAGGGCCACTGTGGTGAGGCCACATGTCACCCAGGCAGTCATGCGTCCGGAAGACGTTGATCAGTGTAGCTTACTGTGCTAAGCACTTCACATTTCCCTGCTCAGGGAAATGTTTGTAATAGCTGAAAACCCAGGAGCTCCAATGTATGAGAGCACATTTGTTTTAGTTGCTGCCCTTTATAGATGAGGAATTGGGTCCAGAGGAATCAATGACATTCAATAGTCATTCGGTAATTTTTTAAAAAAATCTCTATTCCCTTGTGCTTTTAAAAAAATGAACAGTAGCTATTTATTCCCTTTAAAAATGTTTTTATTGATTTTAGAGAGAGGAAGGGGGAGGGAGCGAGAGAGAAACATCAATGATGAGAGAGAATCATTGATTGGCTGCTCCTTACATGCCCCCTACTGGGGATCGAGCCTGCAACCCAGGCGTATACGCTACTGCCAATCAAACCATGACCTCCTAGTTCATGCATTGACACTCAAACCACAGAGCCACACCAGCCGGGCTCATTCAATAAAGTTTTATCAAGAATCTCACTAGTTACACTGTTCTAAGTGGACAAGTCAGACAGTCCCTGCCCTTATGGGGTTGACATCTTGGCTGGGGATATAGTCAATAAACAAGGCAATATGGTTTACTCAGGGCCACACCACTGGT